TTCGACCTCTACATGTCGAATTCGTTTGCGCGGGATTTTTTTTAGAAAATCGATATTCTAGCTAAAAAAAACCCATAAATGCATACATTTTTTGGTTCTTCCATCGTAGAATCTTCTATTTTGATGTCTTATGACTCCATACTTGCCATCTTTGTAAGATTTGTTGAGTTTTGATGATTTTGAATTTCTAGGTTTTGTGGCTTAATTGAAGAGGAAGGAGAAAGGTCTTGTGTGTTTTGTAAGATGGAGAAGATGAGAGTTGGTCTTGTGGTTTTGTGGTCTTGTGATAGGGTTTTTTATGTTTTTGAATTTTTGGTCTTGCATATTTGGAACTTTTTATTTTTTTAATAAATAAGGGTATTATAGTATTTATATATTGAAAATTTTAATTTGGTCTTGCACAAGTGGAATTAGTCTTGCATATAGCCGCAGCCAAAGATGAATTGTAATTGCAGTTTCATAGTTGGGCCCCTGCGTTTTGTTTTTTTCTATAATTTGGGCCCCCGCATTTTTTTTATAATTTAGGCCCCCGCATTTTTTTAATAATAAGGGCCCTCGCATATTTTTTTGATAATTTGGGCCCCCGCATAATAAGCCCATTATTTGATCAAGTTTACTATTATTATTAGCCTAAACTAAATAACGAGATTTGCTTCCTATGATTTTTGTACTAATCAATCAATAAAACGATTCTTACAAAATAAATATTAGGAATTAATATTAAAAATAGAGTACACAAATTATGTTGTTATGAACCTAGAAATTAAGAAACCTTTGGAAATGATTCTCATCAATCGTAGCGTGAACAAAGATAAACATTACATTATATATATTATAATGGAGGCTAGAAAAAATTTCGCCTTCGTTTTCTTTTTGGTATTTGTTTCCGCCGTTAGTAAGTTATTTTCTCTTCGTTGGAACACTCTAATTTCATATCTTAAGTTTACTGACACACACTCACACACAGAGATCTCTTATATATAAAAGAGAGAAACGTTGGGCAACCCTAAAAAACTCTAATGGAATTTCAGTAATTAATTATTTTTAATATTTTTTCTCTACTAATTTCTAACTATATTTTTTAACAATTATCAAAATTGAAACTAAATGTGAAGAATCCTATCCTAATTGTACTTCTATAATTATTCATTTTTAATATTTTTTTCTACTAATTTTCTTATTATAATTTTCAACAATTATCAATTTCCTATTTTTCATCAATATTTTTCAACTCTTAAAAGATAAAGATAGAAATTTGATCTGTTAAATATTAATCTATATATTTAGATTATAAATATTAATATGTAAGATTTTAAAAAACTAAAATTATATAGAATATGAATAATACATTATTAAATTTTTACTATGTTAGTGATATTTTTTTATTAGGTATTAAATTGATTTTTTTTTTTTACTTTTGAAATAATATCCCGTGCATCGCACGGGGAAAACACGCTAGTATGTATATACATAACATGGTGCAATAAAATAGTGTTAAAAGGAGTAGTTAGTTATTAATTATCATAAAAATCACCAAAATCTGTTGTTTTTGTATTTTTTTGTTTTTCATAAATTTCGTGACATTATTTTGTATCTTGGGTATTTTGTAGGGGAAGTCATGGGTCAACCACAGTGTGTAAACACGGCCAAGGGCAGGGTTTCCCCGGACCAACCCGATGACCGCCCCAACCCGCCCCATTGACCTGGACCCGCCAATATATGACTATATGAGTTGGTTTCGGGTCCCTAATTTCAGGACCCGGGACCCGACGGGTCCACCCTTGAGACCCAGAGTTTAATTAAATTATTAATAAATGAAATATATGAAACTTTAAAAAAATAATTCTAAAATTGCATTTAAGTAACAATAAATAATACTAAATTGCACTTTTAATTCAGTGGAAAATTAGAATGTCATTCAGACACATTTTGATGTCTGACCCATGATAAGTTTCTTCAGGCCCAAATTGATTATATGGGCTCAACCCAGGCTATTGCTATGATTTCGGATTAAAATCAAAAAAAAAAAAAAAATGGGTGAAATTATTTACTTGGAGAAAATATCTATTTTGGAACAATCATTTTCAATCCGAATTTTTAAATTCCGACTTTCGACTTCTTTTAAAATTATTTGGATTTGGATTGAAATATATATAAGATTCCGATTTACAATTTGATTAAAGTTTCGAAAATAATTCCAAACATTCCGATTTTGTTTTCCGAATATTACACTTAGAAAAACCAATATTATTATGTATTTTTTTCGTTTTTAATAAATTTCGTGACATTAATTTTTTTATGTTGGGTATTTTGTTGGGAAAGTTATGGGCCAACCAAGTTGTGGACAACTGTGTTTGTGAAAAACCTTGCTAGTCAATTAAAATATCTCGACTTTTGAATAAAATGGAATAATATATTTTTTTGGAATTGAATAAATATCGTTGTATCTATTTTGCACACCATGTGACTGTTAATTCTTGTTTAACCATATTGTAAGATTTCCATAACTTACAAAAAAAAAAAACAAAAAAAAAATTAAAATTATATAATACCAAATGAAAGCAGTTATTTTGCACATTGTTTACTGTTAATTCTTGGTTAATTGCAAATCATTAATCGAAATTCTACATTTTGAATCCATATCCTTATTTCTAAAAGCAAGCATAAGGCTAAAATCAATAAAAAAGAGTGGGAAATAAAAATAAAAAAAATAAAATAAGGGGAAATGAGTGATAACCCCCTAGTTTTGAAAATATATATAAGGAGGCCCAACAAATTTTTCTGCTCTAGTCAAAAACTCAAATTCTGATCTTAATTAGTGAGACCCCCCTAGACAATTTGAAGTACCTATTTTACCTTTTTTAGTTTTAATTCAATATATGCCCTAAGCCTTCTAATCTTCTCTCTTCCAACTCATACTGCCGTTCTTTCCATCCCTCTTCATCTCTCCCCCTTTCTCACTCCCTCTCGCCAGATCTGGCCATCACTCGGCGGTGTTGCCTCCTCTCGCGGCGGCGAAAACTCTCCGGAGTTGCACTATTTCCCCTTCCAAACCGCTCCACGTCTCGAAGGTCCAGTCACTTCTACTGACAGAGAGAAGGAGCGATCTTCTCTGGTTATCTGCAAGGCGTACGAGGCCGTCGATCGGAGTCGCTTCTAGAATCGTCGGAGGCGACGAGAAAACTGAAGATCGGGATTTACTTCACCACGTGGTGGAGCCTGAACGCGTACCCATTTCCATGGCTAACATCGATGCTCTCTTTGGCTGCTGGGTTTCTCATCATGCTAATTTCATGGGCTCTCAGAATCGCCGAAGTCCCGAAAACCGATCTCGATTTCTGAAAACTATTTTTCCGGTAAAACAAAACAAGGCTAATTTGGTGATTTTTCCGATCTGTGATTCTAATTGGGTCTCATTTTTTTTCATTAATATTTTGTATATATTTAATCGAAAAATTGAATCGTTGATTGTTTTTTTATGATTGGTTTGGTTGAATTTAATTTTTAGGTTGCAGTGGCACATACAATTATATGGCGGCTTCTGTGAGTATGTCATTCCTAAATTGAGTTTTGAGGAAAATACCTTCATAATCTTCTAGCATGTAATTGTTGTATAGTTAACTGTTGTGAGTGTGTGGAAGTGAGGGTATGTGTGTGTGTTGGAGAGAGTGGATTGTGAGCCTTGACATTTCTTTTAATCATTAATATTTATGAAGTCAACAGTATAGGATTCAATGGCGAATGAATTTGATAGTATTAGTATTTTATGTGTAACAGTTTTGAGCAGTCGACGAGGAGCTTGCGGTGGCCAGGTGTGGCGACGGGGAAGGGTTTCATAGATTTTCTCCTTTTTTTTATTTTACGTTTTATTTGGTTTGGGATCGAACCGAGCCTGCTTTTAGTGTTCTAGTTTCGATAGATCGGAGTTGTTGTCGGGTTGAAAAGTGAGATTTGAAGCTATAAATTCAAATTATACTATACATGACTATTAGTCACATGTAGTTATATATAGTCACATATGGTCATATACATGTAGTTATATATAGTCACATATAGTCATATACATGTAGTTATATATAGTCACATATGGTCATATACATGTAGTCATATATAGTCACATATAGTCATATACATGTAGTTATATATAGTCACATATGGTCATATACATGTAGTCATATATAGTCACATATGGTCATATACATGTAATTATATATAGTCACGTTTAGTAGCATGTAATTATATATTTTTATATAAAAGATATGCGTTTCTTCTAATGTATACTGATGATGATGTTAATGATTGTGTTTTTCGATTTTTTTGTTGGGTACTAATTGATTTATAATAACAAGATTCAAATTGTAAATTTATTTGTTGCTATAAATGAAGTTTTTTTTATATAATCAACGGGTTATATAATCGGTCGACCATAATTTTGGGGTAAAAAACAGTACATGACTACATATAACTATACATGACTGTCGTATACTATAGTCATGTGTAGTCAATTTATTTCAGTACAGTAAATTTATCAAAAAATTGAAAAAAATTAATACAAATTAAAAAATTAAAAAAAAATTAAAAAATTAAAAAAAAAATTAAAAAATTAAAAAAAAATTAAAAAATTAAAAAAAATTAAAAAACTAAAAATAAAACAAAATTAAAAAATTAAAAAATTAAAAAAATAATAAAAATTAAAAAATACAACGGTATATATAAAAAATAATGTAAAGCTGATAAATGCAGGCCCATAATGGTAAATGCAGTTGGGCATTATGCTGAATGCAGGCCCAGAATTCTAAATGCAGTTGGGCATGATGCTGAATGCAGGGGCGAAATTACTGATGCAGTTGGGCGAAAATTTAAGGGCACAATAGTACTTTTGCCTCTGCAGGGGTGTATCTCAAAGGAAGAATTTTAGGGGTGGACTTATCCCTATATATTTTCCATTCTAGGGGTGTATATCAAATGGACCCATAAAATAAAACAAAACACAGCACAAGTGTAATAAAAGCAATTTTATAGATTTGTACTAGGAAAAATAAATTAAAATTACATGAATCTCAGTGAGTTATAAACGTGTAATACACCGATCTATTAAATGCAACTAAGACATGACCTTCAAAACTTGTTAGGATTTCCAGTTCCACTTTGTTCACCGGAATTCAAATAAAGCGTCTTACTTTATTCTACGCCTTATTAACACGAATCTTCTGGCCCTCTAGCACCTGCAAAGCACATTTTACAACGCAATCAATAAACATATGTCTTCATTGATTACGAACACAATACTAACATTTTTAACTTGTTAGTGCGTGCGTGAATGTATGATTGCATGCATGTATGTATCTATGCATTCATGCATGTAATCATTTTTTTTCTCTATTTCTACTGACTAAGCTTTCTCATAAGGCTTCGTTTGGATTGATGGATTTGAAACTACGGGTTTCAAATCAATTAAGCTTGTTTGGATAACCTTGTGATTTACTCCTATTTCGAGCAATCTTTTTAGTCATTGGTGGATTTCAAATTATTGCATTCAAATGCAATTCAGTTAAATGGTTCGATTTTGGGGAACATTTTGGCAAGAAGTAAACTAGAACTAAAACTCAACTTGAGTGTGTCTTTGTCTCTACTCTGCTTCAGTCAATTTCCCTTTTGGTATGTAACTCTCTAAAGGGGTGGAAACAGGACGGATCGGAATTAGCACTTTCTGAAAAGTTCCATTTCTTTAAAGAAGTGGAAAACTAATTCCAATTCCATTGCAAAACCAAAAAAAACGGAAAAATCGGAAATTGGAATTTCAATTACTGAAATGAAAAAACTTGTTCAAAAAACAAAATGTTTGGATCGGAATGGACGGAATTTTCAGAAATATTTTCAGAAATCAAAATTGGATCCAAAACCAGAATAACGATATGTATTCCAATTCCGTTCCAAAAAAAGGGAATTGGAATCGGAACTTTCGAAATTCGGAATGAAAAATATTGTTCCATAATCGAAAAATTTCAAATCGAAAAAGGCGAAATTCAGAATTTACGACCTAACTTCTACCCCTAGGTGTGTAATGTGCTATTAGAAACCAAATGTGGATAGAGCATAGGAATACCATGAAAGTTACACACATGTCGAAATTGAAAAAACAACTATGATCAATAATAACAAAAACGCCACTCATGCAAATAACCGTCAATAAATCTTTATATCGTAAACATATCATACCCCATTCGAAGAAACAACGAAAACTGAGAGTTCAAAAGTAGGAAACTTACGGCATTATTTAGAGACGATATGGCAGCTTCCACATCCTCTTCCGAAGAAAACGTAACAAAGCCATAACCGGTCGATTTTGACGTACCAGGAACACGAGATACCCTTGCACCAAGAGCTTTTCCCTTTTCTGCAAAGAAGTTTTTAAGGATGTCGGTAGTTACAGTCTTTGCAAGGTTTCCCACGTAAACCTTGTACGGACTGTCCACAAATTGCGAATCGTCAGCTTGAACTGGCAAATCTGAAGACCCAACCAACGGCTTTTCCGTTACATTTACTTTTATTTCACGTCCTCCAATTTCCTGTTCAAGATTTAAAAAAAAAAAAAAAATAAATAAAAAATTCCAATCCTCAATAAGTTCATTACCTTAAAAAATTTCAGGAAATCAATCATTTTACTTACTGTGCCATTTAGCTTTTCGACAATTGCATTTGCATCCTCGACGGTTTTTGTGGTGACGAAAGCAAATCGTCTGCTCCTTCCAGAGTACTTATCATACATAACCTATAAAAAAAACACTCTAAAAAGCTCATAATTCTGCAAGATTAGCATTCGAGCCAAATATATTCCCATGTATCAAAACCAAGCAATAAAAGAAGCTTCGACTCTCTTTAAACCAACGCCTCAAACTTAACATTGCTAAGCATGAACCTAAACACTACTTTAGCTAGACTAATTAAACTTCCAGAAAGTTAACATAGGTGGTGTTTTGCAAAAGCTTTTGGAAATAGATTATGAGTTTTTTTCTGCACATAATTTTCCCTCTACTTTTTCTATTTAAGTTGATTTTCCCGTATATTTGCAAACACTCTCAACTTTTAGAAATTAGCACTTAAAACCAACTTAACTCACAATCTATAACTTATGCTTTTAAATAAGCTTTTGCAAACCACCACCATAGTAGCGAAGAGGACTACGGCAAAATCTAAGATCAATGCGACCCCGTTAAAGAACAATATCATCATATCATATAAAATCAACTTACATTTCCAAATTAAAAATAAATAAATAAAATATGCTTAGTGAAGTTTTTCACATATTTGTACATATAATTCATATCCCCCGCCAAGTAAAAAAAAAACAAATCAATTAACGGATAAAACCTCATCTACACTAACAAAAAAATCAGTAAAAAAAAAAAAGAAAAATTAACAGTGGGGAAAAAACAACAACCTCGGCCTTCTCGACGGCGCCGTGCTCTTCGGCGATTTTCTGGAGCTCGTCGTTGGTGACGGTGCGGGGAATGTTGCCGATGTACACTCTTCTAGCGGCGGCGGAGGAAGGGTCCGCCGTGACTTGTGTTGCGTCCTCGGCGACGGCGTTGAGCCTGCTGGGGTTTGACGAGCGGGCGAATCTCAGAGGAGCGAATTGAGGTTTGTGGGGGTGGAGGTGGAGGTTTGGGAGACGAGTTTTGAAGAGTTTATTAGGGTTTTGCAGGAAATTTGGGGAAATTAGAGACGATGATGAAGATGTAAATGCGGCCATCTCTGCTTCAAATGTGAAGGTTTTTTCTGTAAAGGGGGGTTGAGAATGTGGAGAAGATGATAAGAGAGGGAACTGTGTCTAGTCTAATGGTTTATCTCTTAATTTTTTTATTTTTTTTTTTTTTTGGGCAAATTTCATTTTTCACCCTTGGACTTTGGTTTGGTATCACTTTAACCCCTCTACTCTTGATTGCATCGATTTACCCCTGCACTTGAAAAATTGTCTCAATGTGGCCCTTGTTGTTAGTTGTTTGACATTTGACCTTAACACCGTTTGGTCTAAGCTCTGAAATTACAAAAATGCCTCCCCTTCCAATTTAAATAATTACTAAAAAAATTAAAAATCTATTTTTTTTTTTATAATTATTTAAACTGGAGGAGTGGTTTTTTGTAATTTTCAGACCTTAGACCGAACAGTGTTAAGGTTAAAAGTCTAAAAATTAACGGCGAGGGCTATATTGAGTTAATTTTCTAAGTACAGGGGGCAAGTTGATGCAATCGAAAGTAGAAGGGCAAAAGTGATATTAAGTCAAAGTACAAGGCAAAAAATGGAATTTATTCTTTTTTTAATATAAAAAGCGATTTTCTTTTCCTTTTTTTATTTTTTTAATAAGCATTGACATGCTCACGAGCTTATCTTTATTAATTACTATTACACTTTTCCTCTTAAATTAAATATATTTTGTGCTATTTCCATTTTTTTTTTTTTACTTTTTTAAAGTTTAAATTGTGTTGGTGATGAGAAATTTGGCAGAGAAATTATAAGTTTTATAAGTGTTGTTTAAAGTTGACGCGTGTTAATTAAAAAAGTTATAAATCTTGATTTTAAGCGAAAAAATTCGGAATAGATAATTGAGAATGCTGAAATTTTATGTTACGAGTCGAGATAATGTGAGATTAGAAATATGTTCGTTGCTCGATAAAACAATAGAAATACTATGTGACACGTTGGGATTTTTCAATGATTGTGCTCAAATCAGAAACCAAAAATCGAAGTAAACTTGATAGCAGGGTCAGGCCTGGAGTGGGGCTCTGGCGCTCAAAACAGAAATCGAAAATCGAAATAGACTTGATAGCAGGGCCGGCTATGGGGTAGGGCGAGCAGGGCTCACGCCCAGGTCCCATTTCTAGTAGGGGCTCGAAAAACAGATTTTTTTCATATATATTATATATATTTTTAATGTTACTTATTTGATTCTATATACATTTAATTACTATCATGTAGAATTAATCAAAAAATAATTAAATTTATTAGCTGAATAGTATTTATAATAAAAAAAATCATTTATTAATAATAGAATTGAAATATTATTGAATATAAAATAAATATGAGATTATCATACAAAAGAATTACTAAATATTTTTTTTCTCAAAATTAAAATTTAAAATAATTAGCAACATAGTTATAGCATATGATATTAAAATATTTATTTTTATTTTATCAATAGAATAAATATAGTTTTATGAATATGTTTTTTTAAATTAAATCAAGAGTAAGTAGCACTTAACTCTTGATTTATGTTTTATGAATTAAATCCAAATATGCAATATATTTATTCTATAATGAGGCTTATATTAATAAATCTTTATCCACATTAAAATTCGGAAGAAAAAAAACAGGGGGCCTGCTTGATAGGCCGTAAACTTTATACTTTTAATTGAGAATTATGGATTTGCGTTGACAGGCCTAGTTAAGCTTTTATAGAAGGGGTTTTATTTAGATTTATGGCCCAAACTTAATTTGTCCTTTCATCTTAAAACCCATATACTTGATTCGTTCTTATATCAGTTTAGTTGTTAATGCATGTTTTGCATGCGGGCATGCCGTGTTATAAACCTTAGGTCATGTGTATTATCAACGAATTATATAATATACTAAATTAAAGTTTTTATTCTGTATTTATTTTCTAATAGTGCATTTAATTTGATTTTACTAGTATTCATTGATCAATTTGTATTGGGTCACTGAATATTATATTTCAAAATAAATCAATACATGAATATATTGTAAAAGTCCAAAAATATTCTATGGTATAATGGGATTCCCACTCGGTATAACATTACAATAATTTGGTATAACAATTTAATTAATTAAAAAAAATCACCTATAGTAGTTTCTAATAAAATGAGAATTATTTTTAATAAAAAATAGATGAAAGTATTTAGTTCCATTAATTAACAGGGAACCAAAACTGCAGTGCAGTGCAGTACGTATACTGTATACACACAGCCTATATATACATCCTAGGTTAGGAAAGTGACCCTCTCTCTTTTGCTTTCTTGCTACCAAAGAAATGCTAATAATAATTAATATTCTTTGATAATTGCAAGAACTACCAAAAAAAAAAAAAACAATTTACTAAAGAATAAAATGGATTCGGATTATTATTATTATTATTATTATTATTATTATTATTATTATTATTATTATTATTATTATTATTATTATTATTATTATTATTATTTTGGTAAATTACAACCACCCCTGAAGTATGGTCAAATTACGAAAAAATTCATCATATTTGGAAAAATTACAACCACTCCCTCAACTATAAATCTTCTTACACGTCCATCCTTGTGGTGTCAAATTTAGTGGAATCTTCTAGATTATATCGAATATTCTCAATTTTCTACTAGTTTTATCCCATTCAAGCTCCACATTTTAAAGCAAGATAATCATAAGATGTGTCTTTTTGCTTGCATATATATCAAACTATGGTGCATCAGAAACTGCGTTTTTGCACAAAACGAGAACAAACTAGAGAACATTACACAGAATGTAGAAAATTATGTTGAATTCGACACCATAAGAATGGGAGCGTAAAAAAATTCAAAGTTGAGGGAGCTAATTGTAATTATCGAAACATAAGAAGTTTTTTCGTAATTTGACCATACTTCGGGGTGGTAGTAATATATATATAATTACTATTTACTAGTTATAAATACTAAAATTGCCGTCTGTATTACTATTTACTAGGAAGGATCACCGTTACCAAAATTGTAGGTAAAAACGTAATTACGTAACGGCTCATTTTAGCCTCTTCGTATATCCATCCCCATTTTTTCAGGCGCTATTCAAATTATTAATTATTAATTTTTTTTGAAACAACAAAATTTTTCACGAATCAGAAAATGATTTGTTTGCGATAGATAGTCTTTTGCCACAGAACACAACATTTTGCAGTAACACTCCCTCTGCAACCCTTTGTTTTTTTTTTCCAGGTTTTCTCCATTCTCCCGTTAACCGAGGATGACAAACCCGAATCGAAACCAAAATCAAAACCAGAACCCAAACCAGAATCAAAACCAAAACCAAAACAGGAATCAGAATCAGAATCAGAATTCCAACGCAAATGCAACGCCGGAGGAGGATTTCAACCTGCGGGAGACGCGGCCGAGCCTCGGCGGAGGGAGGTTCTCCGGCAACGATCGCGTCGGCACCGCCTTCGACCTGGTGGAGCAGATGGACTATCTATACGTCCGCGTGGTGAAGGCGAAGGAATTGCCCGCCGCCGCCGACCCCTTCGTCGAACTAAAGCTCGGAGGGTTTACTTCCACCACCAGGCATTTCGAGAAAACCCCCACCCCCGAGTGGAATCAGGTTTTCTCAATCCTTAAGGATCGGATTCAGGCCCCGTTCATCGAGATTTCTGTGAAAGACAAGGCCAGAAACGGCGACAATTTGATCGGGTTAACGGTCTTCGACGCCGTCGACGTCCCGAGAAGGGTTCCGCCGGACAGCCCCTTGGCCCCCGAATGGTACAGATTGGAGAATCGGAGAGGGGAAAGAGTCGCCGGAGAGTTAATGTTCGCCATCTGGATGGGAACTCAGGCCGACGAAGCTTTCCCCGAAGCCTGGCATTTGGACGCCACCACCATTAACGGCGACGGCATCGCCAGTATCAGGTCAAAGGTGTATCTATCCCCACGCCTCTGGTACCTCAGAGTCAATGTAATCGAGGCCCAGGAACTACAGCTCGGCGACCGAAACAGGCAGCAGCCGGATATTTTCGTGAGGGGAGCACACGGGAATATGATGTTGAGGACCAGAATTTCTCAGAGCAAAAATATCAACCCACTTTGGAATGAAGATTTGATGTTTACTGTTTCGGAGCCGTTCGACGAGCAGTTGGTTTTGTGTTTGGTGGAGAAAATCGGACCGAAAAAGGAAGACGAATTGGGGCAGTGTTCGATCCCGTTGCACGGTGTGGAGAAGCGGTTGGATTTCAAACCCCCGTTAAGCAGGTGGTACAATCTCGAGAAGCACACGGTTTCTGAAAACGGGCAGAGGAATGTGAATAAACTGAACAGCAGGGTTCACTTGAGGATCAGTTTGGATGGTGGCTATCACGTGCTCGACGAATTAACTCACTACAGCAGCGATTTAAGGCCGACCGCTAGGCAGCTTTGGAAGCCTGCGATTGGTGTGTTAGAGCTGGGAATCTTAAATGCTCAAAATCTCACAGCGATGAAGACGAAAGACGGGAGAGGATTCACCGATGCTTACTGCGTGGCGAAATACGGGCAGAAATGGATTCGGACAAGAACAATCCTCAACAGCTTCAATCCTAAATGGAACGAGCAATACACGTGGGAAGTTTTCGATCCTTGTACTGTAGTAACAGTAGGTGTGTTCGACAACTGCCATCTCCAAGGAGTGAATGGAAACGCAAAGGATTCAAGAATCGGGAAAGTGAGGATTCGACTCTCCACACTCGAGACTGGGCGAGTTTACACGCATAGTTATCCGCTCACAGTGCTGTCACCCACTGGTGTCAAGAAAATGGGCGAAATCCAATTGGCTGTCAGATTCTCGTGCGCGTCTCTTTTCAACATCTTGATGATGTACGCTCAGCCCCTTCTGCCGAATCTTCACTACCAACACCCGCTAAGCTGCCACCAGATCGAGAGCCTGAGGAACCAAGCTACTCAGATAGTCTCCACAAGGCTGAGCAGGGCTGAGCCGCCGCTGAGGAAAGAAGTCGTCGAGTTCATGCTCGACGTGGGGTCCAACATGTGGAGTGTACGAAGAAGCAAAGCCAATCATTACAGAATGGCCGGAACGTTGTCCGTGGTTGTCAAATGCGTCAAGTGGTTCGACCAAATATGCAGTTGGACGAACCCTTTCGTTACAGTCTTGGTCCACATTGCGTTCCTTGCATACATATGCTTCCCATGGATGATATTGAGCACCGTGTTTCTGTTCCTTTTCTTGATCGGTGTTTGGAATTATCGAGGCAGGCCAAGACACCCGCCCCACATGGACGTGAGATTGTCTCAAGCAGACAACGCACTGAACGACGAATTGGACGAGGAGTTCGACACTTTTCCGACTTCCCAAAAGCAAATCGATGTGGTGAAGATGAGATACGATAGGCTTAGAGCGATCGCTTCGAGGGTTCAGACGGTTTTCGGTGACATAGCTACTCAAGGGGAGAGGCTGTACAATCTGCTGAGCTGGAGGGACCCACGGGCAACGGCTCTTTTTCTCGTGTTCTGCTTCGTTGCTTGTGTGGTTTTGTATGTGACTCCGATGAAAGTTGTGTGCGCTGTTGCGGGGTTTTACGCGATGAGGCATCCCAGGTTTCGGAATCCGGTTCCTTCGCTTGCTCTTAGCTTCATGAGGAGACTGCCTGCCAGAACTGACAGCTTGTTATGATACCATGATATATGCTTTTCTTGGTCCTGTTTTTTTTTTTCTTCTTGAAAATCATTAGTTTATTAAATGTTTTTTGCGTATGGGTTTTTTGGCTGATTTGGGGTGGTAAGAGTTTTGAGGTTGTCTGGATTCTTGAATATAGTGGCTGTTACTTTTGTTTGCTTAAGATTATTAATCACTGCAAATTTAAAATGCCTTTTACAATTTTTATTTTATTTTATTTTATTTTTATTATTATTATTATTATCATTATTTTTTTAAAATAAGTTTACATATAAAAAAATAATTCAAACTCCTACTATTTCTTCTATTTTTATTAAAAAAAAAATCAAATTCTACATTTATATAGATTAGTTATCTTATTATATATGCAACTTATTTTAGTAAAAACAAATTCTTTTTTAAGGGAAGTAAAAAATAATTTTCCTGACGTTAATATGCGATACAATGATCACCTAGTTGATGCAGTAAAAAAAAGTGCGACCTCTAACAAATTTAAGTTCGATTCTCTTTCTCAATAATTTAGGAGCTTACTATTCATAGTGCGATTTTTTCCAGCTACAGTGCGAAATAATTCATTTGTCAAAAAACACTTTAACCTTTTACAAAATCCTCTCAACCTCCAAATATTTCGACTTTCGTAGATCGTGATTTATTTTCGTAGAAATCAATTAAAACCCAACGATTATCAAGATGGCCAACATCGATCCCGTAAATGAGGTAAAAAATTACGTTTTAGTGTGATTTTTTTCGATTTTCAGTCGTTTCGTGTAGAATATCACGAAATTATTCAAGTTGTTTCGTGGTGTTTTGCACGAAATGAACACTTTATTCCTGTTTTCCAGTCATTTCGTGTACAATACTACGAAATGATACCTTTTATTTCGTGTAAAGTCACACGAAATAGCAGTAAAAACTGTTTTGTTATTCATTTCGTGCAGTACTACACGAAATGTATCATAAATTTCGTGTCATTTTACACGAAATACCTAGTATTATTATTAATTTTTTGTGTGCAAGTATCTCACCTTTTTTTTGTATTTACGCAGCCATATGACGACAATTTGTATTTTGATCCATCGGTTTTGGATCAAAATGAATATGAAGATTTCTCTCACTTCTTCCAAGTTGATATTGTGTTCGGTAGTAGGGAATAATTAATCAACTGAGCGAAAGCAACTGCAATTAGTCATTGTCACCATTTGATTTGTCAGTCTAAAAGGGAGAATGCACAGTACATGACGTGTGACAAATACGGACATGACCGACAAACGAATATCGATGTGGAAGATCCTAGAAACACAGGAACAAAAAAATGTGGTTGTCCGTTCAAATTGATTGGCAAAAGGTCAAGGATTGATGAATTATGGCGGTTGACTGTCAGCGATGGCAGGCATAGTCATCGTCCGACTTTGTTTCCTCACGGACAAGGTACGACTAGTCGTATAACTCCACAACAGAAAGCAAGAATTAAAGAATTGCGAAATTCTCACGTGAAGCCAATGCTGATCATGGATAGACTGAGAAAAGATGATCCGACGATACAAACCTCTATGAAGCATGTTTACAATGAGTTGGCCAAGATTAAATCTGAGGAAATAGAGGGCATGACTGTTATTCAGTTTATGATGCATAACTTTCAAAAAGGCGAGTATCGATATTGGCATCGCGTCGATAGTGAAACGAGCAACACGATTACAGATATTATGTTTGCATGTCCCGAATCTATTAAGTTATTACGGTTGTTCCCGAATGTTATATTGATGAACTGCACATACAAAACCAATAAGTAAGTAAAAATTACGATTGTTTAAATTATGATTATTGTGTTTTAATGTCTTGTATTGTTTAAATATGTAAAAACAACATTGTTGTAGGTATGGAATGCCTCTTTTGGAAATAATTGGGATAACTCCAGTTGGGAGGAATTATACAATTGCTGTTGCATTTATGTCGTATGAAGATGCAGACACCTACGAGTGGACTTTGAATTGTTTGAAAGAGTTGCTAGATGGTGTCGATCCTGATACGATCTTGACAGACAGAGAGTTGGGTCTTTTGAAAGCACTGCCAAATGTCTTCCCATTTTCGTATCATTTGTTGTGTATATTCCACATAAACAGAAATGTTGAGGCAAATGCGACGAAATTTATGGGAGGCAACAAGGACCAAGGTCTAATATTCCGACGTGTGCTGTGGGCTAAGCTGATGAAATTAGAAACCGCAGAAGAGTATCATTACAATTACAATGAAATTGTTGGACGGTATGCAGGGTATCCTAGGCTGATACAGTATTTGAATGATACGTGGTTGATATATAAGGAGAAGTTTGTTCGAGCCTATACTCGCAATGTGTATCATTTTGGCAACACGAGCACCAACAGGTATTACATGTTTAAGTTATTTAAATGATAAAAGATATTATATAAAAATAATATTTATTTTGTAATTTGATTGTCGTTGTATGCTTTGATTGTTGTTGTAATTGGATAGGGTGGAGAGTGCTCATTCTTCAGCGAAGGGTTGGTTAAATGCTTCGACCGGAGGTCTGGATAACGTGCAAGGCAAACTTCGGGACCAAGTTTATATCCAAATTAGTGAGCTGAAGTGCGATTTTTTATTATCATCCAAGATAAGGAAGCATACTGCAGCATGGCCGTGTTTTCAGGGTTTGATTTGTTATGTTACGCATCTGGCATTAGAGAAATTGGATGAAGAGATGGAGTCTCCGGCGATGCAAGATCCGAGTATTTGCACACGCTATCTTTGGAATACTCATGGGCTCTCATGCGCGTGCAAAATTGTGCAGAAAATGGAAGATAATGACACATTCGTCATTTCAGACTTGCATCCATTCTGGAGTACCATGGCAGTTGAGCCTTCGGAGCTACCTGAGTATCAAGTAAACCGCGAGGAGATTGTGGATAGACAGATTGATGACCTGAATTGCAATTTGAAGAAGATGAATTACACGAGTAAGATAAATGCCGTGGCCTCATTGCGTGGCATCGTTTATCCGTCTACGTCGCATCTGTCCGAGCCATCATTTGTTAAGACCAAAGGACGACCAAAGAATAACTCGACAAAGAGAGACCCTTCTGGATGGCAGTATCATATTGATGAGGAGACAATTAAGTCGTCTTGTGGTTCCAAGGGTTGCCAAACCTCATCTGGTGCAAAGATTCCTAAAACAAAGGTTGAGAGAAGCACTGATGGAACGCCTCAATCGAAGATGAAAGGTCGTGGTTCTCGTATTCCCACACAAGAATCTGCTGCCCCTACAATACCTGCACATGAAGGAATCGACTTTTATTCTTTCGTGCCCAGATTTATGGTCCGTCTTATTCAAGATTATGTTAACGTGATGGCGGATGGCAACTGTGGGTACCGGTGCGTTGCTCAAGCCGTGTACGAGGATCAAGAAAGATGGCCGCAAGTGAGAGGGGAGTTGCTTATTGAGTTATACGAGCATGCTAGTGTCTACACGGCGATGTTTGGCAGTACCGGATACGTTGAGGTCATACGCAAATGTGACTGGACCTCAGGGCCTTGTCCACAAGCTTATTGGATGGACATGAATGAAATGGAATTGGCCATTGCTACCAGATACAGTGCATTAGTGGTACTTTTGACTCAAGTAGGGAGTATGACTTACCTTCCTATGTTTGGCAGTGGTCACTTATCATGTATGATTGTTGTGACATTGCACAACAATCATTTCATGTTTGTTAATTTGGTCGCAAATAGTCCACTACCACCAATCCATCCGACATGGGTACACCATAGAGCTAAAAACTTGAGGCACTTACTCAAAACGTACAAACCCCGACTACTCTTGTACGAACAATTAAAGTCTGGTCGGTAGTTCAATTTGTAGTTGTATCTGAAATCTAGTTGAATTTGTATTTGTATTTGAAATTTAGATCAATTTGTAGTTGTATTTGAATTCTAGTTCAATTTGTAGTTGTATTTGAATTCTAGTTCAATTTGTGTTTGTATTTGAATTTTTAGGTCAATTTTGTATTTGAAATTTAGATCAATTTGTAGTTGTATTTGAATTCTAGTTCAATTTGGATTTTTTATTTGAATTTTTAGGTCAATTTGAGTGTCTGAAATAAATTGGTTAATTAAAAAATAAATCAATTAGTTATTTCGTACTGAATTTCACGAAATGTCACTTCATATTTCGTGGAAAAATCTACGAAATATGGTCTTCCATTTCGTAGAAAACTCCACGAAATATGATGTCACATTTCGTGTACGTTTACACGAAATACACGATTTTTTTCAATCTAACAGTTTCGTCCTTCGTGTTCTATAACAATAAACACTTATATTTCGTGTGAAAAGACACGAAATTATTGAGTGGATTTCGTGTAATAATACACGAAATAGCGGGCGAATTTGGTTTTTTTTTAGGAAAGTTACAAATGAAATAAATCGCACTGCAAGCCGGTAAAAACCGTACTATAAATAGCATTTCAGATAATTTATTGGTCAAACTCGTCACAAAAGACTTGCTGGCAGTGTAATTCCTTTACGTATGGTTGTAGCCATTTATTTATAAGGACAATTTTTTATGTTTCTTTTAACGAAAAAATAAACATAAACATATGTGATTGTTAAAAATTCTATGGGCTTGGTTGTAATTAGACGATGAAATATGTTAGGGTATAATTGTAATTTCCTAAACAAAAGGGGGATAATTGTAATTTCGTAAACAAGAGGGTGGTAATTGTTTATTTAGACATATCTTATGGGCTTGGTTGTAGAATACCGAAAAAAGAAAAAAAAACATAAATAAAAAAGAATTAATGCCAAATTCAAAAGCAGCCTAAACCCTCAAAAACCTTCCACCGTCCTCCGCCCTCACTTTCTCTCACACAACCGCCAGCCGCCCCCCCGCCTTTTTTCATACCCACGCCGCCGCACCGGCACCGACCGATGTTTCTGTAATTTAGCTTTTTTTTTTCCTTCTTCTCAGGCAATGGCGGCTAGAAAAGATATTTCTTCTCAGGCAGCGGCGGCAAGCAAAGATAGCAACACGAAGAAATCGTGGTCGCCGCACCTGGATAAGGAGAAGGACTATGAAGCATTAAGAGAGATATTCAAACATCATATAGACTCGTTCGATTATATGGTGGAGCATGGTTTCGAAAAGATGATGCTCGGATTGAAGCCTGTCGAAGTTGTCGATTCTTCCACCAAGCAAAAGCTTAGAAATATCCTTTTTTTTAATTATTTTGATGATGATTTCCCATAGCAAATTTATGTATGTATGTATGTGTGTGTGTGTATGTATGTATGATTACTTTGTTTAATTCCCAGAGTGTAGGTCTCGTTGTGTTAATTGAATTGGATTTCGCGAAGCAGAACAACAGAATTACCGAATTTTTTTCAGATAATTTCGTGTCTGTGTTTTGGTAGCTTTCGATTATTCGTATCAGTGAAGAGCTGGAATTCATGAATTCTGATATCCGTGCTTATCATTTTTTTCCTGGTGAAATATGCTATGTCGGATTCTTGTTCTGTTTTCTTTTCAAGTTTGAATTTGTGGCTAAACAAATCTACGTTGTTTTGTCGTTGAGTCGCTCATATTTTCTTAGTTTATACTTAATTAGCATCTTAATATTCTCTCTTTTGGTGCAAAATTGTATGAAGTGAGAGTATAAGTTATTTTATGCTTACAATTGGTTGTTTCAAATTGTTCTCGGAGTTGGTATGAACACTGAAAGCTATGAGATTTGTTTGGGATGGGTATTACTATATGAGTTGGTATGAACACTGAAATTATTTGATTTTATCCAAAAATTCTTCGTTGTCTTGTTATCCGTAATTATATGATACATCTTGATAACAACTTTTGATTTTTTTATTATTGGTTTTAAATCGAAGAGATATTACTGGAGGTGTCCAGAACTTTGGTTTGTGCAGGGATATTGTTCAAATGTATTATACTGTTTAAGATTTTAGGGGCATGATCTTTTCTTTCGGTTGTTTTATGATCTATTTTTGTTGTACTTCATCATTTGGTATAGTTTAAAGTTGATCCTTAACTCGTGACATACTTTGGTTTGAAAATCCGGAAATATTTCCTCCTCAAAAAGATCGTGCTACCAAAACCATTGCAGATCCTTTATATCCTTTTGAGGTACACTTTTTTGACATCATAACTCCTTTATAACTGAATCCACCCCACCGCGAAATGTTAACAGAATCTTAATGTGGCTGGAGCAGTGTCGACAAGCAAATCTCACATATGCGGGGAAGTTCATGGTGGACATTAAATACCAGTATGATGAGGGTGTCGTTATTAGAGACAGAGTTAGTCTTGGGCAATTTCCTATCATGTTGAAGGTACGGGACTTAACACTTGATCCATGTAATTGCTTGCCTTCGATTGATATCTTGTTCAGTTAAACAAATGATGATCTTTAATTAGTCAATGACTTGTTCCAGTCTCGTAAAGTGGACTCATGGCTGCTTTGCCCTTTTAGGATGTCAAGTTCTATGTTTTCGACTGTTTATTGGTATAATAACTAGTTGTTAATGAAGTCAACTTTCAAAGACGGAAAATGTTAAAATTTGATGGATGGATATAATTCAGTTGCTTAATTTCTCGTTTCTTAATAGTGACAGTTAATTTTCGTTTATACTTGAATACATCATTTTCAACAAATACCAGTCTTACCTGAGCTCTTGAACTGTGAATAAGTTTCCATAAAATTGTAAAATCTTGGTGATATCTCTATCTTAGGAACAAGGAGTCTGCCATAATCTTCATAGCTTTTATGATCATTTTTGTGGAAAACTTATGGAAACTATATTCTGAAGTAAAGATTGGTGAAATTTGGATGTTAAACAGTGATGGTGGGCTGACACGTTCTGAATATCAATTTTTACAAAATTTCATTTTGCATGACCATTCTTAAAAATAATAGTTACTGTTTCCATGATAAAATCGAATACGGTTAATAGCCACAATACGTTGTAGTTCCATTCTTTAAATTTGTTTGCATTAGTATCTATCTGTAAATATTATAAGATATTGATGTCTACATGTTAGATGTGCATGCCTAGGTTGCATTATGAGATTGCTTGTATCTTTATTAGGTCTTGCGAAGTGGGGGTCAAAATATCTTTATTAGGTTTCCCTTCTCATTGGGTACACATAGTTTTTGTTTGAAGTAGTGATCATAAAAGCTATGAAGAGACTGTCGAATACTAATAATGTCGATGGTTATCTCCAAGAAAGATTACCGGAGTGAGGGATCAGAGAAACCAGAGAAATATTTCCACATTAATGTTAGAGCTTTAAAAGACAAATGTATATAATTTCTGACCCCGAGCCGGGAATATTGTTTGAATTTGTTTTTGTATTCATGGTTTACCTGACATTATAAATTTTGTTATGCAGTCGAAATACTGTCATCTTAAAGATGCGAATACTAAGAAATTAGTTTCACTAAAAGAAGAGCCTTCTGAAATGGGAGGGTAAGCATGCCTAATTGTTCTTTCTGCCTATATCTTTCTCCTCCACCCCCCCCCCCCAAA